CTTCTAAGAGTTATGTCTGTGCTTGTGATATGACCGAACTTTGATTTTCCAAGTAGAATTCTCACGTTGCTTCAGAAGCCAGTCCTCTAAAAGGTTGATGGCTTCCTTTACTGGTACACTCGGAAAAAGTGCTGTGACATCAAATGAAACCATGACTTCATCTTCCCGAATCTCTCCTGATGTCTGAAGTTGATTTGCGAAATCCAGTGTGAGCGAGTGGTAAAGGGTTTGGGCATAATTTGAATTTCCTTTACTAGCCATTTGGCAAGCTTATGAGTGGGGGATCCTTCAGCCGAGATAATCTCCCTCATTTCGTTTCCTGGTTTGTGAATCTTTGGTAAACCTTTGATCCTAGGTAGAATCGAGGGGGACGACTCTATCTACGATGCAAAAAAGATTGTGTTTTGCTGTGGCTAACTGCACGCACGCTGAGTAGATAGAAAGAAGATTAATGACGATTCTGAAGATTTCTTGCAAACAGATGATGAGCGATGGAAGTAGATGCGACAAATAAAAGAAGATTTTTCGAAGATTGATTCGCTAGTGTGAGATTTGTTGAGCATCTAAACTTGAGATTTAGATGTGTCGCCCCCCTCGGGTAGAATAGGGTTTGAAACTTTCAATTGATTTGTAGTGTTGCCAATAAACGTCTTGCACTCTTTCAACGTTTTATCCACATGTTTAGCCATAGATGGGAGGGGGTCAATCCTCAACTGTCTGTATGGCCCATTAGTATTTTTTTTTTTTCCGTCATCCGATTGTCATAGTACTCTTTGTCCAAAATCACTACTGTATTACCTTTGTCCTAAATTTAAATTAATTTATCTAAGTTTGCACTTTACGCAATATGTAAATGTTTGAATTCCTTACGGATTCGATTCATTTTAAAAGCAAAACTGTGAGAGAATCTTACATTGCTCGGCTGAGTGTACTTGTACTGAAAGGATCATAAATTTTACCGGGACTATTGAAAGGAGATTTTACTAAAACATTTTACTGACTATGCTACCTGAAGCACCTGTGATTGACAACTCCACAAGTTCTTACGTCGATGTATCTTGCCAGATCTGACAAGTATTTAAATTCTCCGAAATCGCATGGACATGGCAACTCTGCTGCCATTCTCCCACACCGAGGAGACCGGGATAAGCTGATCGAATCCGTATCAAATTATTTGACGCATTGTATGACCCCAACCGTACGCTCCCAACGCTGCACCATCCCGCAAAGTTGTTGGCCTTGAGCAGCTCATTTTCATTGTTTTAATTCACTTCATTGGCAAACAATTACACTTTGTGAATAAATAATGATCTGATTGGACAAACGAGCACCATTAATTCGATCGGGCCGGGATTATTGCATTTGCCTAATAGGTTTGTAATGACGACGACACACCTGTTCTGCTCTGTGCTGTGCTGTGTGACGGAAGTATGAGTACTGGGGACGTATGGATCACCCACAATTTTGGCCACCGCATCGACGACCACCGTAAACTCCTACGCTCGACTACAAGGGTAACATAAATATTTTATCACATGCAAATAAAGCCTTCTGCTTCGGCAGCAGTTCACCGCACAAGGTACACAAACCGGCAGTAGCAGCAGCAGCCAGTAGCTAGCGTTTGATGAGACACACAGCACTTCAGTGTCCGGTGGCTAGAATTACAAGTGCACCATCTGTTTCCACTGCGGGTGCATCCCCGGAACAGAAGGAAGATGACCAACCCGAGCTGGCTGCTGCTCCAGACCAGTTCTAAATAGCAAGGTAGGTTCACCATCTTCCCTTAATTAAAGGATATTTGCTCAAACTGATGCAGCACAAACTCACTGGCGCCACCGAGCATAATGGTGATGGAGGGCGGGTCGGAGTGGTCCAGTGGAATGGTTGGGAAAACACATCGTAATGTTTGTGTTGTTCCACTTTGTTCATGTTCCTGAAATTTACAAGAGTATTTTGCCAGTGCAAGTGAGCTTCTGCTCTAGTGGCAACCTACTCCAGAAGAAGATTTAGTAAATTTACTTAGGCTCATACTGTGCTGTCCATGTTGGTGTAGCTCGTACATTTTATGCTTGCTTACCTACAGGGGTAGGTGGACGGTACACATTCCCTGCGAGGATAAAGCCTCATTTCGGCTGGCTGGTTTCTTCTAGGAAATGTTTTCTTGAAGATAACAAGCAACTGGCACACTTTGTTCAGGTGAGTTACACGAGGTTCAATGTTGATAAACGATCAAATGGACACGATTCAAGCACTGTTTGCTTGCACGGGTTCATACTAAATTGCTGAACACACAAACACAAACACCGAATGTAACACAAGGAATGAAATTTCCTCTTCCTACAGATTGGCATTCCAGTGGTGGTGAAAACCTCAGCGAAGACAACAACGATGGCGATTCCAGCGGGAGTAGTGAAATTTTCACGACCATATTCATATGAATTAAAACTAGTGTCTCTCTCGCACTTTGCTCGGGGATGGCAAAAATATGCTGCTGTTGCTGCTGTTGTTGGTTTTGCAAAGCCAAAACCAGAAGTCTTTTGCGGTTTTTCCATTGTATCCATTTTGGATACCGAAGGAGAAGTGACGATGGTGCTTTTGATAACGAAAATTCCAAATGACAGCGCTAAGAATAAGATTTAAATATCTTTTTTGAAGCCAAAAATACATCCTAGGTTTAGAACATGTGGCTCGTTTGCTTCTGGATCATGTAACGCAGCGGTTCGTGCTGGGGCTCTCACACAGTAGGACTGGGTTCAAACAGCTCCAATTCTACTACTTATGCTGATAAATCAAAACACATCAAACCTGCCTTTATAAATAACTTTCATAAAAGTGCGAACTAAATATAGAATTGGTGTAGAGGACAAAAACCTTTTTGTTTTAATGTATTTTCTAAAAGTTCCGTTCAAATTCCGCCAGAAGCTGCTTAGAATGCTCTTCAATTATGATACCGGAACTTTCAAGTTCTTCTAATGACTTAAAAATGAGGCTGCTTAGAATTCTATAGACCACCACCAACCAAGCTGCTTAATCCACAAATAGCCTTTTATCAAAACTTTTGGTTACTTGGGTACTAAATCATCAAATCGATCCGTTTAAGAAGCATATAAATACAATTCATGTATCCGAGATCCCGGCTCGCTAAGACATCTCTAACGGGTACCGCGGGTTGTTTTCCTCGAACCCTGAGGGATGCGGATAATTCAGATCAAACAACACGGTGTAAGGTACATGACCAAACAACGTGGTCGATATCGTGATAACCACTATAACGAACAGTGATTGGACATCAGCCTGGACATAACGCTTTTGTAAAGTCACGGCTCATGTTCAAACCTTTGATCCATGGTTTGCTCGACACCTGTGGGAGGAAATAATGTAACCATCTTCCCAAATCGCCATCATTCTACTTTTGTTGCCAGGAATTGCGGATGAGCAATTGAAAATAAAATTCGATAAAGGCGATTTGACGCTCATAAGTATCGCCTTTCATAGCGCCCGCCATAGCCAGCAAGTCCGTGTTTTCATTACTCGGAATAGAGCAATGAGATGGGACCCAAGCTAAGGTGATAGTATAGGAGCAATTAGATAAAGCACTCAATTTAGGCCGTATTTCAAACAGGAAATACGAAGAGTGTTTCATTGGCCTCATTGAACGAAAAATAATGGTCTGTGGAAAGCGAGGCCATTAATCATTTTGTCAAGCTTCTGCATTCATGTTCCATCAGATGTCACTGCTGTTTTTTGCGGTGACATCTATCGGAAACTACACATAATCTGTTTTCGTTAATTGTTCATAGAGGACAGTGTAGTGCAAAACATGTCTGGTACCTCTATATATGCATTTAGGTTAATATTAGAAATCCCTACCTTTTTACACATTCTGCACAAAAAATAGCTCACCCCTCAAGGACTTCCCGCCAATTTTTATGAATGGGGCAGGGCAGAAAATATCTTTTGTGTAGAATATGTAAAAAAGGAGGGACTTCGAATGGTAATCTAAATGCATATATAGAGGTACCAGACATGTTTTGTAGTGTCAAGTACTCTACTTTGCAATCTGTGAAAGGGAAATCACAAATCGAGTGTCATCATAATACATGGCGTGTTGAGATATTGAGCTCGTGAGAGAGAATTATCTTTCTCAAATTTGTATTTTTTTTTCTCTCTGGGGACTGGTAGTAAAGCGGTTAAAAAATATATGGAAAAAAAAACTTTTTTATTTAATTGTTGCTTGTTTAATAATAAAAAAAAAATAAAAGGAAATAAGTGAACGACAAAGTCCTTGTTCCTTTAGATTGTCGTTCACTTTTTTTGACCTGAATATGCATCGAGAGTGAATTATTCCCACTTCTCTCAATTTATATATGGGGATTTTTATCACTTCCTACCAGCAGAACAGCGCCATCTCTGTGGAAAATGGCCGGACTTTATGATTAATTCGCTCTACTGCTTAAAATATGGCTGCTACTGGCGCTATGAAATTCATTAAATACACCAAATCTAGTGGAGGCATTTATAGTTAACTCATCTGTGAAAAAACGTTTATAGTTACTGACATGGAGGCGCTTGATAGCAAAAATTTTAGGAACTACCATCGACCGATTGTGATCTGTTATTCCATGGATTTCTCGCATCATGGTCTGATCAAAATTTACAGAAGAGATATAGAAGGCTTGAAAGAATTCACGATTCGAAATAAATGAAGAATGACCAACATCCACCGTGTACTCATAGTACAGACAGTCTTTAACAGACTTATACATCTTGTTTGAGGATTTCTATCGAGCAGCTTCTCGAAGCTTTCAATTAACAACGGGTTCATTACTTCACAACGGATGAGAACCCGGAAAGACAGTTCAGCGAACTGATCTGTTAGAGGACGTATACCCGCGAGTACCTCAAGATTCATCGTATGAGTCGGGTGCATACAGCCAAGCGCGATACGAAGGCATACCATGGAAAAAGGGGTTTTAACCGCCACTGAATCAGGGCAAAAAATGTTGCGCGCAAAGCTTAAGATCCATCTGTCCGAGTTCTCCATGTCTTCGTTGACCGGCGATGATGGGTTCCGCATTCTCCTGCCGACATTCCAAGGCATTCTCATGGAAATCTCTAGCGATGAACCTTCGACGAACCGATGCCAGTAGCCGCGTTTTTTAGCTTTGATTAAGATTTTAAATGTTGTCTGGAGGCCCATGTACCGCTCTACCGTCGACCCTACTGTGTTTGCGGAAGCGTTTAAACGCGGTGGACTTCTCTTTGTTTGCATCGGCACATTCCTTGTCCCACCATGGAGTGAGAGGTCGTTTGCGAACGGAAACACCAGTAGGATTACAAAAAATAAAACAGCTCATCTGACTGAGTGGATCAAACCTATCCAGCTCACTAAAGGGAGTCGATTCTGTTGAACAGCTCTTCAGCTCACATTGAAATTATAGAAATTATGACACAAGTCCAAAACCGGAAAATTAATTAATGGTTTTAGTGATAAACATTGAATAAAATCTTAAAAGTAGTGTAAACCAATAAATCCGTACCTTACAAAATGGCTCTACTTTTCAATGGAAAACGCCACTAACGCAACAAGAGATCAAGCATCGCATACATACTGATTTTATTTTTGATGTTAATTCTCCAGCAGAATTTCTCTCACTATTCTCGGCTTCAGCTCCAGATCAGGATCTGGCGCTGAATCATGAAGAATCTAGAGAGAAACAAAAGATCCGAAAAACTGACGGGTCCGAGTGTTGTCATCCTAAAAAGCTCTCAGTGAATCATTCGAATCGATGATTCGGATCCGGAGCTGAGCTGATAAGCTGGAGAGCTGCATTTCGCTTTTCGGTTATTTGCTTTTGTGTGGATCAGGGCGTCACAATATCAGCTTCAATCGACCAAATCGATGCGACGATGAGACTGCTGGCTTTCTTTTTCTGTTAAAATCGAACAGCTTCGCAGCATTCTAGAACCTCAGTCGGCGTGCACAAACAAATGTTCAATCGCTTGTCTCTCTTTCTCCCGTCGCTCCATTGGTTTTCCTTTCCAGCTTCGGTGAAACGGATGAGTGAAAGAGCGCTCGACTTTGATAGTTTTCTCTTTCATGAAACACATCAACAGTGGTTTCATGACGTATATGACGGAAAATGAAATTACATATTTAAAGTATTTCCCACGTGAAAACTCTTGAAGATTACACGTAATATGTTTAATTTATCTTCCATCCACATATTTATCTAAAAAAAACTAACGAAAACGGGACATAACGCATTTTAAACAAATTGAATGAGCGGTGATAGTGTTCGTGAAAGGGGATTGAAAGCCATAATGAGGTTTCGTTTAACTAGAAAATCGACGCTACTTACATTGAAAGCGATGAGCAAAGCAACGACGAGAAGATCCACAGCCAGCGTTTCCTCTAAGCGTGCTTCTTTTTCATTATCATTTCTTGCTGATAGTCTAGCTAGGCGTTATAGAAATGAAGCGTTGAACATGTTTGTATGAGAGAAACAAAACTCGAGTTTATTTTAGAGCTTCGAAAATGTAGAGCCCTGGTGTGGATGTTCCGCTCCCCTAGAGAATTATGGTAGGAGATGTGAGAGCACATATGCTGGAGGAATAATATCAGCAAAAAGAGCCAGGTACATAAATAAATGGGAAAAAGTAACCAGTAAAATTAACATCGTGTAGAACATGTACATTTGTCTCTCTCTGCCAAACAGCCGTATTGCGCGCGCGTCTTGGTTTACGCGGTCTTTTTTAAAAAAAAGTTCCGCTATGAGTGATGGATTGAATGGTTTAGACTTGTGATATCAGTGAGCTGATGAGCTGAGGTTCTTAAAAAAAGGAATTGCGGGTCATCAGCTCACTTCAGGGAATCGGGTCTATAGAACAGCTCGGGCGCGGATTGCCCATCTCTACTAAGGATACAACGTCCATTGTGTCAAGTTGGATTATCAGTGCTTTTTATGTAATCTGCGCTTAAATGTGTCTACAGTAGTGTTAAAATCGAAGAAGGAGTAGCCGAAGGAGTAGCCGAAGGAGTAGCCGAAGGAGTAGCCGAAGGAGTAGCCGAAGGAGTAGCCGAAGGAGTAGCCGAAGGAGTAGTCGAAGGAGTAGCCGAAGGAGTAGCCGAAGGAGTAGCCGAAGGAGTAGCCGAAGGAGTAGCCGAAGGAGTAGCCGAAGGAGTAGCCGAAGGAGTAGCCGAAGGAGTAGCCGAAGGAGTAGCCGAAGGAGTAGCCGAAGGAGTAGCCGAAGGAGTAGCCGAAGGAGTAGCCGAAGGAGTAGCCGAAGGAGTAGCCGAAGGAGTAGCCGAAGGAGTAGCCGAAGGAGTAGCCGAAGGAGTAGCCGAAGGAGTAGCCGAAGGAGTAGCCGAAGGAGTAGCCGAAGGAGTAGCCGAAGGAGTAGCCGAAGGAGTAGCCAAAGGAGTAGCCGAAGGAGTAGCTGAAGGAGTCCCATCAAACAATATCAACTGATTAAAAGTTGTTTAAGCAATGTTTTAGCTGAACAAGCAAATGTTTGCTTGAATAAGCTCTTATTCAGCTTTCAATGTTTGTTGGGAGACTTCGTTAAACCTAGCCGACATAAATCGTGCAGGATCATGGAGGCCATACAGAGCAAATAATGCCATTGACGAGGCGAACGTTCTGGAGCATAAATATTGGGTTGGCTCAGTAGTTCCGGCGAGTCAGTTTCTCCAGTCAGAATTATCGCAACGAACAATATTCCTTTTCTGTTCCAGCGTCTGTAGTCCCACTAATCTTCATCGATCTCCGTATTGTGGCAGGTTAAACGGATCATGCGACGGGAGTCGTCGTAGGGCATATCTCACGAATTTTCTCTGAATTGCTTCGATCCTAGCTGTCCAAGTTGACTGGTATCCCAAGTAACCAAAAGTTCTGATAAAAGGCTATTTGTGGCTTAAGCAGCTTGGTTGGTGGTGGTCTATAGAATTCTAAGCAGCCTCATTTTTAAGTCGTTAGAAGAACTTGAAAGTTCCGGTATCATAATTGAAGAGCATTCTAAGCAGCTTCTGGCGGAATTTGAACGGAACTTTAAGAAAATGTGTTAAAAGAGGTTTTTGTCCTCTACACCAATTCTATTTTTAGTTCGCACTTTTATGAAAGTTATTTCTAAAGGCAGGTATTAAGGTGTATTGATTTATCAGCATAAGTAGTAGAATTGGAGCTGTTTGAAGAATTAAACCCAGTCCTTCTGCGTGAGAGCCCCAGCACGAACCACTACGCCATCTGAGATATAATAAAGTGAGCTGTTGTCCCGCCTACTGTTGGAGTTTTCACTGCCAGCTGACTGACTTGAATACGAAACACAACACCTTGATGAATTTTAAATTGGTGTTTGCCCGCATGGTATTCCAACACACTTGTGGTTAGCAATCGTATATTGCATACCGAATACACGAGTTCGAATCCAGGAAATTACCCTTTAATGTTTTATGTTTGGATAGAATGTTGATGCACTGCATAAATATAAGAATTATGATTTATTCGGGCCACTAATCATTTCATATTTACGTACATTAAATTTTGTTACTAACAACGACTTCTACGGATTGCGTCATGTGACTTGAAAGTTCTGTCGGAACTATATTTGAACTTTATGGAACTTGAAAGTTCTGTTGGAACTTTATTTGAACTTTATGGAACTTGAAGGTTCGGTCGGAATTTCATTTGAACTTTATGGAACTTGAAGGTACGGTCGGAACTTTATTTGAACTTTATGGAACTTGGAAGTAATTTTAACCGTTGAATTCGGAACTTTTGGTTACTTGGGATTGTCACCATACTACAGAGTTGGAGTCCAAACTCGATCATACTGGAGGCCGGAGGGAAAGAAGATCGTTAAGTCTGCTGTATATGTTGAACACGTATCCCAACTGTCGGTTCACCTTGGAGATGATATCATTGTGATGTGATCGAAAGCTCAGCTCTGAATCCAGGATGATGCCAAGATCACGAACTTGATGAATGCGCTCCAGAGCCATACCATCAATTAGATAACCGTGCGTAATCGGTTTAAGCCTACGATAAAACGATATGATTCTGCATTTGTGCATACTCAACGTAAGCATGTTCTGGGTATACCAATCAGAAACCCGATTTAACAACAGTTGTAGCCAGATAAGTTTGAAAAAGATGCCGAGGATTTAGATCCGATTTTAACGACAAGCTTGCAATCTGTGGGATATGATCCAAACCAGTTAACCAGATCCACAGAGACACTAATTCTTCTTCTACGTTCCACTTGTATTTGATGATCAACTCGATCTAAACTGTACTAGATTTGTAAATGTTGATCTTTTAGGGTAGAAACTATGCTGATCTGACGAAAAGTAATTCTTGTAGATATTGAAAAACACACCTTCTTCTTATTCTTATTCTTCTTCTTCGCATTTCAAGCTTATTGCATATCGCATATTAGCTTATTGCGTGCTCTCAACTTAGTGTTCTAGATGCACTTCTACAGTTATTAATTGAGAGCTTTCGATGCCTGTACCATTTTTGCATTGATATGATTGTGTGGCAAGTCTATTCATACATCTATGCCCAGGGAAGTCGAGAAATTTTCCAACCTGAACCAGACCGAGGACCAGACCGGGAATCGAACCCAGCCACCTCCAGAATGGTCTTGCTTTGTAGCTGCGCCTTTACCGACTGAGCTAAGGGAGGCCCCAAAAAAGCACATCATTCATGATGATTTCAAAAACCTTTGAACAAGCGCTCAATGAAGTTATTCTCCTGTAATGCACAATATCCTGGCGAATTCTATTTTTAAACACTGCGATCATTACTGACGTCTTCCAACTTGCGGGAAACGTACAGTTTCACAAGGAAATATTGAAAAGTATTAAACCAACTCTTTGCCGTATTTCCCCATGGCAACCAAGTAGCTTATCAATATAAAATACTGCACTGCACTGTCCATGTCTTCTGAAGGTTCTAGGATGCGCCAGACAATTTGGCAGACCGCTTCTAATAATCCTTCAAAATCAGCACGGCGGAAGTAAATCCACACGGCGAATGAGAATAACTCAAATTTGAGTTTAGTTCACTCATAATCGCCAAAAGTGCAGGAACTTAGCGATGAGTTAATTTGCCACATGTTTTCCCAGGTTTTTCCAGGATTTTCCAGGGAAAAATTCCTGAATTTGAGAAAAGTAAAGATTGGATTCATTTAGTCTATTGGTACTATTCCGAGACTGAATAAAATTTTCGTCAATTTCCTCATTTTCCGGCAGATTTTTTAGGTTTTCCTCAGGAAACCATGGGACAAATTTTACTCATCGCTGAGTTCCTGCACTTTTGGCGATTATGAGTGAACTAAACTCAAATTTGAGTCGTTCTCATTCGCCGTGCAGCTTCATTAGAAAAACTCTCGAATGTACACTGAACCAAAACATCATCCTGGCATCGAATGATTATTGCCTCACTTAAGCCCTATAACTATTATCAGATGGTTTTAAGATGATCGTCATTCGATTTACCATCGGTAGGAATATGAACAAATCAAATGCCCGAGTGGCACACTTTCGTCACAACAAGTTGCAGTAACCTGTTTATGACTGAAATAAGTCGTATAAAAGCTTTAAAAATCTATTAACGACACGCGTGCTACTGGAGTGACAATCATCATTTTATTGAATGATTTTAGATCGATTTGCGAAAACCAAAGTAGTATGTCTACTAATCATAATATCATAGGATAATCGTATTATTTTCAACTAATTACAACATGAAATTCGGATGAAAATCAGGTGCACAACATCAAGTCATAATTTACAATTTATGATTATATTATTTACAAGTTGTGATCTAAACTGAGCTGGCTCCTCTAGAGTCGAATGATGATGGCGAGGTAGTGAAAACTGAGGGACAAAGATGTTGTTATACAGCTGATATGTTGGCTTCGTAGACCTCTCAGGAGTTGTCAACGATGTCATTATAGGAGCGATTGGTCTGGCTCTTGGGAAACGTATCCGTAGGTTGCTATGCGGCCTGGGAAATAATGGGAAAACTTCATAATCTCATCGTGTATGCGTATCTGGAAGAAAACTTATCTTCTGGCCTCGTTAGTAAATTGGTCGACCATGACTATCTGGATGATCCAGTAGCGCTGACAGTTCTGAATGCTGACATTCTTGAACATTAAATGTATGTGAGTTAGCATAATGATACGAATACTTACATCTGAGCATTTCAATTCTGTTAAGACCTTCGAAAATATATAACAACTTTGCACTCAAGCTTTCACATAACGTGTTGCTATTTTTCATCGGTTATAAAAGATTTTATAGTTGAAATCAAATGATTTTAGTTATAGAACTATCTCAAATGATATTCCTTTCGTTTCCATACAGAATGTTTTTCATTATATCTAACATATTTATTGCTAAAGAAATATATACAAACACATGTAAAATACTCATTCACCAATCAAAAGAGCATCACATGTTTCCGAATAGCAAATCATCCGACTGATTTTGCCATACGGTTTTCAGAATCATTGAAATTGGATGCAACTGAATGATGTTTCAGTCTATAAATGGAGGGTAATTTGGTTCAGTGTAGTTGGCTGGGACAGTCTAATAGTGACATCAAAAGCGCGATGATCGGTAGCGTCCAGATGGCGTTGTTTCATTCACCAAAGCAATATCCAAGATTCGAGCGTTTTGTTTAGTAATATGGTTGACTTGAAATAGCCCATGTAGACTAAAACCATCAAGTAACGAGGCACAAGCAACAGAGATGTGAGGCTTGAATACGATGCTTGGTGTGTTCCAGACAAGGCCTGACTGATTATAATCGTTACTACTTAGCTGTGAATCAATTGCTCCAATAAACTCGATATGGTTATTTTTACTACATATGTCGTTCTTACGATCTGGTTGAAGGTAAATGACACCAATGCCAGTTGGGCAGTTATTCAGTTTTATCTTAACCCAGAGCTGTTCTAGAGAGACATTCACACGTGTCGGATCAATGTAGTTGTTAATGCCTTGTATAGACTAGAGAGTTATAACATGTTATAGCGCTATCTTGATGGTGGTTTCTGTGTTGCAATTATTTGGAACCTAATTGCTTCAAAAAAGTTTGCACACTTGGAAGGACTAAATAAATAATGTTTCTCGTATAGTCAATGACATTGAATAGATTGAAGATGCTATGCAGAATTCCAGAAAACGTGAACATAGTATCACAGACAAACAGACATAACACTCACAATCAAATTCTTCGCAAATGAGGTTTCACTTCGGAATGTGCTCGGATTTGTCGTGATGGCGCCACCAGCCCAGTGGCAGGCGCGTAGGCAACATGTTATACCGTGACAGCGGGCCCAGAACAGCAAAATAAACGTTTTAAACCCGGGACATGCTGCCTACTGTCAAACGCTGCTGACGGTATAGGCCTAGGTCACTGGCCTGGGCGCCACTGAAGCGTTAAGCAAGTCAGAACAT